TGGGAAATATAGATCTGTCGCCCCCCTTTTTTTCGCAGGGTACATACATACATGCACACGTGCATACATACATACATTTCTGAATCCGGTCCTGATAATAGAATAATACCGGAAGATTTTACGAGCTATAAAAAAATAAAATTATAAGAAGTGTATCTTCCGTAACAACAAAAATTGACTGAGATATTTAATTTCAAAATTTGCAATTTTGGGTGTTATTTTTCAACTTTCTTTGGGGGATCGGTTATATGTATTAGAATAATTCAAGGAAATAAGTTTAAATGAAGTGGAGCAAATAATGTGTATAATCTAATAGGCCGTACAAGGAAGTCATGTGATATCCACATCCGATTTTTTTAGATAATATTTGCTTAATCCGCAAGTCGGTTAAACCACCCCCGCTTAATCGGGAGTTGATTGTGTGACATATCGAGAACATTTTTTTCCACATTAGAATACATTTTTATTTCTGTGTAATAAAGCAACGAGAAAAGTTATCAGAATTGGAGATATTTGTTTTTTGAGAACTCTGATTCAGTATAAGCCTTCTTTCGTTTAGTTTAATAGTATTTCCTTGCCTTGAAGCGAATTTAATTGTGTTGCAGGATATAGCTAAAATGCTTTTATTAGTAGCTAACAAAGTTAACTGCTTAGAAATTTGTCGTTGAAAATCATTATGATATTGAAAATATTTCAGCTCTATAATTAATTGCATAATAGCAACAACAAAAGTTAAGTCAATAAAGCGATGGTAATTTAAAGTCCTGTGGCATAATCAGCAAACATGAGCAAAGACCATCGATTAGTCTAACTGTACATTAAAAAAAAAAAAAAAAAAAAATTCGATAAACACGTATAGATATTCATAAAACTGCATCTATAATCTCGCTTAACAAAAATACACGCAATTAATTCTACATTTGAGTTATAATAAAGTTGTAAAAACTTACCTTTCTCAAAAAATTTAAAGAAGTATTCAGATTTCATGTTGCCGATGTTTCGTCTGTTAAAAATTGCGTTTAGAATTGTTTCCTTTTCCGTTGCCTTGGATACCATACCTTTGGCAAAAGGCCCACGAGCGCTTTTTTCAAATACGAAAGCGAAAATAGCAGAATGGTCCATTATTAATTCAAGCGTGACTGTCCACCGTTACTTACTTTTCTTCAAGAGGACGACATTCACCCGATCTCGACATTATGTCTCGCTCGTGAATCTAAATGGATTCTAAAAGCACTGTCAAGCCACGACTTCCTTGAATCAGTTGTTTCAGTCTGGCTGAGTTATCACGAGTTCAAATAAGCTCAGAAAGATTTAATTTGTATTAATAATATCTGAGGCAAAAAAAATGATTGATATAAAATTTCTAAAATGGTTCAATTTTTAACGGTGACCGAAAAAGGCTATTTTAACGTAAAATATGGTTTATCGGCAAAGATTTTTAATAGAGATGACCTAGATGAAATAGAAAAACATTTTATAGAATTGTTATATACATTTAGATTAACATGGGAACATTATATTTTTCTGTATACTTCAAAACAGAAAAAGTATGCAATGTTTTTAATTAGATATGTCATGAATTCAATGCATTTCTATTTAAATGGAACCGATTAAAAAGTAAAACAAAATCCTAAATACTGTACTTATTGCTTTTAAATAGTTTAGTTTGTTAATCGATAATAGTCAGATTAAATTTGTAAATCTTACATTTTGCCGAATGGCAGCAGACTTTAATTAAAACTAAAACAACACTTTTACAAAGAACGACATTTAAAGTGAAACAAGGCAAGCCATGTTCGAAGCTAAGATGTCAAAACTAGCCTTCGTGTTTTATTTTTCCACACATTACATTCCCAACTGCACATCTTGGTTTTTTTTTTTTTTTTTTTTTTGTAACAAACAAAATTTGAGCTTTCAGTTTTTATGCAGTTTTGAGCAGTGATTCTTGTAAATATATTTAATCTTTGTACATCTACATATCATACTAAAATAAAACTTTTAGCAGTTAAAATGAAACTAGGATTAAGAAAGAGTATAGTGCTTCTTATTCTTGCAGTACATCTATTCCATAGTTTCTAGCAGAAAGTTTCTGTGATACTCTCTAACACAATTTCACTTTCTTTCGTATAACAAGTATTCAAACTTTCAACAAAATTTACTGAAAATGTATTTGCAAACATTTTTCGAAAAGCTATGAAATATTCTTCAGAAATGCTCCCCAATTAAAAGACCAAAAAGTTAAATTATTCGAAAATAGAAAAGTTCACTATATGTCACGAAACCAACTCAAACTAAGAATATCTTACACCAGAGAATTTTTTTTCCAACGGCAGAGTGTGAACAGTTACAATTTTGTAACAGAGTACATTATTCTATACTAAGGCCAGATGTGGTGGTCTCTTTATTATGGAGGCACCTAATAGGTGGGCAACTATTGCCTTCTATGAAGGGACGGACAGGACAGTTACAACCATGCCTACTCAGGGATTCGAACCCAGAACCCTTCGGTATCACAGTCAGGCTAGCCTAACCACTACCGTCCGGGCGACCAAAGGATGTTAATATTCAAAAAAAAGAAATGAAACAAGCACTGTTTTAGATGTATTCAATCATTCGAAATAGATTAAGATTTCAACAAGAGTCCATGGATGATCTCGGATATTTTTTAAAACTGGCTACCAAATTTAGATAACTATCTTAATTTAGATAACTGGCTTTACAGAAGTAAATTATTACTTTGGTGATAGTTAATTTCACTGCGTATCCCCAAAATATCAGAGATAAAAATGTTAAGGTTTTTTTTTAATTTCTTTCTTCCGAATACCGCTGTGAAACTGAAGCAAGAAAAGGCCCTCCTACTAACTATTAATCCACAGTATAGAAATTTCCTTGAATAATTTTTTACTTCCGAAACTGATGAAATTCTTTATAGGCAATACAGAGTAGTATCTGAAATTAAAACAAGTCATTTCTTCCTTACTTCGTTTTTAAATCATTTGTTAGGGAATGCCTATAAGGAATATGCTGGTGTTTAGTCTGAAAATTGGATTAGAAATTCATTTTGTTCAAATGTACCTGAAATTTTATTTTGTGAAAAAAAGAATAATTAATAGAAATTTCTTGTGATTGAATTCTAACTGAAGATTGAACTTTTGGCTGAACCGAAATAAAGAATTTACATCACTATCAAATAAAGCTATTGCCTTTTTTGTACAATCTGTTGCGCGAACAAAGATTTTCTTCCATGATATATTTGAAAAATAAATATAGAACAAAATTAATGTATTCAACAATTTGTAATGTATTTGGTCATCTTTACATCTGTACCTGATTTTTATAGCACATCCTTAATATAACAGTATGCCTGACATGTATGATAATAGTGAAAAGTGTTCCGCTTAGTCTCAGCAGTCCCCACCATGCACCTTCTTTCCATGTTCTGGTTCTTATTTCAATGTTCCTCGTTTCGTGGCCAATCCCCGGAGGACACAGTACTAAGCTCTTTAATTATGTTTATTCATGTATTTATTTTTTAATTCCATCGACGGGATCCAACAGGCTGAAAAAGCACCTAACCCAGTGGGCCAGCTGTTTCGTCGATGGTGAAAAGAAAAGAAAGAAAGAACAAAATTAATAGTGGATCCTAATTTACGGGTAAAACTAAATGAAACAAGACCAGACATAAAGAAATTAGAATTAAGGTATTAGAACTCCAGTTTTGATAATTAAAATAGTAACCAATTTTTAATCTAATTTTTATGCATATTTAATACAAATAGCCAATAGCTTGTGCAAATGGTAAAATACTTTTTTTTTTAATATTTCTATTGAGAAATGGAAAAAGAATAATTGTAAACTGCAGTGGTGGTATTTAAAAGTTTGAGAACCGCTGATCTAACGTAAGTGGCCAGAAAAAACTATGTCACTTACAGAGTTAGTTTCAGACAACGCGGCATAAATTCAGAACTAACTCTCCTACACTTCGAACTCTTGAAATCTGCTACTTAAATAATGTTTCTGAACTTACTTAGATTTACACGTTCGTCATTAAATTTGCATTCTGGTAGGAAACTGAAATCAAAAGAGAAAAGAAAGTTTCTTAAACTAAAAATAATTGGTTAGAACGAAATAAGGTCTTTACAGTGGAACTTAAGGATCAATCGGATACCTATGAGCTAGTTTGTCACAAGAAAGACATTCAAAACTTCTGCTCATACCAACAGCGTTGAGGGCATGTGGAGCCCCATCAGGCTCATGTTTTCGCAGGTGAAGTCTTCTGCAGTCATCGGGCTACGCGGAATTTTTCGACACCTCACCGGAAATGTTTCGGCTGGAGCTCTGTCCTACGTACAGATCAACCAATCAGACGAAAGTTCTGCATCTGAAGGATCACGTGATTCCAATTTGAGCGATAATCGATTACTGTTGGGCGTTCAAGTCTTTGCAGTAAGTGAAAATGGTAACCTAGCTACGTGGGTTTCCTGAAAATGTGTGGGTTCGGAGAATTGTCCCTTTCGACGTCCAGTCCCTCGTAGTGGAAACATAATGTGATTGAGACTTTACGGGAGTGCATGGTTTGCATTATGTATGTGCAGAAGTCATTCGACGCTGACGATGAGATGTAGTCAAGAACACATAAAGTAAAAGTACTAGTCAAGAAAAGTCAATAAAAAGTCAAGTAAAAGTAAAGTAAAAGTCAAGAACACATAAAGTTTCTGGGTAACATATATTTTTGGCGTTGTTTTGGGTGACAGCTATCTTCGAAACACTGCTTTTTGGCGTCATAAAAATTGACAAAAATATCAAGAGGGCACCCTCAAATAACCTTTTACCAAGGTTCTATTCTTATTATTATTATTGTTGTTGTTGTTGTTGTTAACTTTAGTGATGTTAGAATAATGGAAAAATAGCAATTTTTGCCTAACTGGAAATTTTATATTGACGTGCCTATTTTCCAATTAGATTATGCACAACTGTTAAAATATAGTATTTCTTCTCAGTTTCGAAGTTTAAAATGAAGTCCGTGTGCTGCATTTTGGTCGTAACGTCTTTCTGCCTGGTCGGGATTCTTGCCAAGACGCAATGCGAAGAAAACAGAGAAAGGCAGCTTAAGTCCTATGCCAAAGTTAAGTTTGTTCCAAAATGCGACGCAGATGGTGACTACGAAGCTCTGCAGTGCTTCGAGGGCACTCCATTTTGTATGTGCTGTAGGCCAGACGGTAGCCACATCACAGAACCGTCGAAGTACATCAGGACTTGCGTCTGCGATATCCACAGAGATAGAGAACTGAACAGATGTAAGTAAATAAAATTTGCATTTATTCCTTTAAGATCTTTGTACAAATTCAAATCATTTAGTGCAATCATGCTCTTTATTCGCTGATATTAACTGTTATGTTAATAGCTGCAATTATTCATTCATAGCCCTCTAATGGCACTTTATAGGTAATAAGACTATTATATAGATCGGAAACGGGATACTTACGTATTAACGCAACCACCTTGACATAAACTGGAGATCTCTTACAAATGAAAGAGTAAAATTTGCTTATCGGATGGAAATTGGTGGTTTTCGCTACTTGTTTTAAAACGATTCCCAAACTATCGATATTTATCATAAGTCGGCAAACGTTATCAAGATATGAAAAGAAAAAATGCTTTAGAAATTTAATATACAAATTTTAATTATTAAATAAAAATTACGTGACACATTATAAAAACTAAAACACTTATATTCTTCTCAAAATCTTTCAGTACGTTTTTGTTTCGCTATAATCTTCCCAAATACACAGGGATTTGTTTTTACTTAAAAAAATCAGAGAATTGCACACACTCATAATCGCGTAAAACTTGGAAACACTGACTAACTAATAAACGCATCTCCTCGTTCTTTCCTTTATAGATTTTTCCACAAAATTCGGTCGTTTCTGTTATCGGAACCGGATGCAGTAAATGCATGCATATATGTATATATTTACTTGTGCAACAAAAACAATGTAAGCATGTATGTATGTATTTACGTATGTATGTGCGTATACATACACACATACATATATACATACAATAAATACGTGCATTTCCAAATCCAGTTAGGATAACCAAAAAGCACCCAAAATTCTACGTTCATGCTAAAAGTTTACCAAAGTTTCTTCCATTGTTGGCAAATTTCACAAGTGCATATTTTAAAATTAAGGGAAAATGATCACGATTTCTTCATAAAAATCATTTGATTTGGAATTCAAAAAAATATGATGTGTACACCACATGACTTCCGTGTACGGAATATTAAATTATACGCATTTTTTCTTGCATTTAAGTTAAACATTTTGGATTGAATTAAATCTACTTCGTCGATAGCTCATAAACCCCAATAGAATAAATGCATTCTTTAAAATTCACTATATTTGTTTACCACAGCGACACTCTGACGCTAGGTTTACTTAACAGCGTTATATTTCGTTCATATTATAACTCAGAATGCACAAAATTTATATCATTTGAGGAATTATCTAATCGTTGTCACATGTTTTATTCATATACTATAATAAATCTAAAATAATGTATAAAAGAAATGAAGTAAGCCAAAAAAAGAAAGAAAGAAAAAGTTTTTCTCAGACGATTCAGTATTTCTCATTCAATTAATTCAGTTCTCACTTCCCGACAAGGCAAAAATACATAAAAACTCAAGATTATCTATATTAAAAATTGTGAAGTAAACACTTATTTTGTCGAATAAATTCCAGAATGGATAAAAGAAGGCATTGCTGTGAAGCTTAGTTTCTCTAGATTGGCAACAAACCCGCTATTCTGCTAAGTTTCAAATGTAAACAAACCTGGCCGCTATGGTAAAAATAATTAGGCGTAGCAGCACTTAAACAACTTTTAAATTGTTTATAATTCTACAAATATTGCATGCAGGTACTAAAGGCATAAAACCTTAACCGTAAGATAAAAACAACATAATTCAATCATTTTTAAAGTAAAAAATGCACAATTTACAAACATATAAGAATAAAGAAACTGAGATAATCAGCTTCATAATTTTTTGGGGAGGAAAAGAGTCCTTTATTCTGTCGTTGCATACAGATATCACGCAAAACCGTCGTTAAATTGCATTCGATAGCGGTGAAAATGGATATTTTCTTTGAAATATGATACCTGAAATTTTTTGCGATTACAATACTTCATTTGGCGACGTTGCTTGAATGAAGGATTGTTATGAGCATGGTTGCCTGAAGAATGTTTGCTAAAGTTTTGCACATTCTGAAAATTTGGCGACTTCTTTTAAGGTGGTTGCGATAACATGTAAATACCAAAAATGGTAACAGGAAAATCGAGGTCGAATCTGCTAGGCAACATGAGAATTGAAAAAATTATGTCCCTTCCTTTTCAGATATTATGAAAATAATATAATTTCAAAGTTAATCTGAAGGGTTTCAGATTTTAAATTACGCCCAAAGGGGCGGTTTTTTTTAACGTTTTGTATGTTATCTTTATTTATTAAACATCATGTTCTACGCACTTAAACCATAAAATTCAGTTCTACAACAATATCGGAAAATAATAAAATGAGCATATTTTTAGAATTGGCGATATAGAGTCTCACGCGCTGGAGATTTTTTTTTTTTTTTTTTTTTTTTTTTTTTTTTTTCGTACAGTGTTGTCATTGCTCGCTTTGAAATCGTTTAGTTTGTTAATCAAAAATTCGTTGAAGTGTTAAAAAATATGAAATCGGTAACAAAACAAATTTCAAATTCAAATTATGGGCAAAAAGGTCTTCTATGTAAACTACAGTGCAATAAATGCATTGATTTCATTCATATAGTTGTCGTTCTTTTTCATTGCTTCATTTCCAAACATCTTGTATTTATAGAAATAACTAGCAGCTTCGCAGCCAGCCTTCGTCTGGCTTTTAAATGTACAGGAAAAATGGCTGAAAGGAACACCAAACGTTAAATTTAAAAACTGCGCAGAATTTTACTCTACAGAACAACTTCATAAAAAAAAGTTATTACTTAATAATATTTATTTTATATTTTCAAGAGAAAAAAATTACAATGAAATAAGCTATATCCCTTAAAACAATTATTAATTATCCTAATAAAAAATTAACCAACTTTCCGTTAAAGAAAAAAACCATGCAAAACTTTTCAATATCTTACAAACAGTGAAATAAGCAAAAAATAACAGGAAAGAAACTCAAAAAACAAAAAGTTTCGCGCACAATTTTATTCTGCAGAACAACTTTATCAAAAAAAATCAATAAAAATGTATTATATATATAACAAAATCTGATGTGTACACCACATGACTTCCTTGTACGCAATATTAAATTAATATTAAATTAAATTATACGCATTTTTTCTTTAATTTCATTTAAATTGATTGGATTGAATTAAATCTACTTCGTCGACAGCGCATAAACCACAATAGAATAAATGCACTCTTTAAAACTCACTATATTTGTTTACTATAACGGCACTCTGAATGCACAAAATTTATATCATTTGAAAAATTATCTTAACGTTGCAACATGTTCTATTCAACTACTATAATAAAGCTAGAACGATGTATGAAAGAAATTAAGCAAACAAAACAGAAAAGAAACAGTTTTTCACACAGACGATTTAGTATTTCTCATTCAATTAATTCAGTTCTCACTTCGCAACAAGGCAAAAATACATAAAACTCAAAATATCTGTATTAAAAATTACGAAGTAAATCTAAACACTATTTTCTTATTTCTTCCTCCTCGAAAAAATTCCAGAAAGGATTAAGCATGATTTAATTCGAATAATAAATGAAGGCTTTATTTTTGTTGTTGCGAAGCTTAGTCTCTCTAGATTGGCAACAAATCTACAATTCTGCTGTTTCAAATGTAAACAAATATGCCCGCCATGTTATTTAAAACTTAACCGCAGCTAAACAGCTTTTAAATTGTTGATAATTGTACAAATATTGCTTCCAGAATTACGAAAGGCATAAAAACCTTAACCGGAAGATAAGAACAATGAAACTATTCAAAATGATGCGATTTCATCAAAAATCTATCAAGAACAAGAAGAAAGGAAAATTGTTGCCAAACTCACATTTTTAAAGATGTGAGATGTGAGAAGTATACTCGGAAGCTTTATTTAAAAAAATTTTTTAAAAATACAAAATATTATCATTTTCCCAAAATTCTTTTTGTAAAAGCAGTCGCAAGGATGAAAGTTTAACGTGTCCAAAAATCAAAGAAAAATAAACTGTACTTTTTTAAAAATAAGCTTTTTCAGAAAAAAATCCCATTGAAAAGGTGTTAAGCTCACTTTGTTAAATAAATTCGTACTTAACCGATTTATTGAAACACGAAATTTATTTTAAGTTCGTAAAATAGCTAAGTGCCTACATTTCATGACGATGAAATTACGAAGGGAGTGTGTAGAGTAAAATCTCGCTTTCCTATAGCCCATTATGTCTCAAAATGCAGCGATTTCGTCACAAAATATAAAATAAAAAAAATTCTAATTCGAATTTCAAAAAAATCGCTTCGAAGTGCACTGGCTGTTGTCTAGATGCACCTATGTACCACATTTCGTAGCCGTGGGTCTATTTATTAGCTTACGCGCAGCGCGAACGAAAGGCACACACACACACACACACAGGCAGATTCTTTCTTTTATTATATGTAGAGATATACCAAATTTATTTCATTTGCGATGAAGTAGCAGCCCTGATTTGTAAATAATTCCCTTTTGTGTTATCTCCAGTAAGTTAGATCTGGTCTGTAATTTCGTGTTTAAAGTCTATAAGGTTTTTTTCCCTCCTTTCTGCATGGTGTAGGTGTAGCACACTCGGGTAGTGGATGATGATTCTTCATTACCAGGATTTGACGATTGTGTCCCCTAATTCCCAGTCGCCCTTTAAAAGGGAGAGTATATAAGGTATTTTCTCCCTCTTTTCTGCATGCCTTCGTGGTGTGACGATGCTCCTGCTTCAAAAAATTCGTAATGTCTCTATAAGTCTTTAGATATTTTCATATATCTCATATTAAATAAATTCATCTTTAATTAAGTGGCACTTACTGAATCAAGATTTTAAAATCATGAATACTGGTAGCTCAACACATGCTCAAATCCCAATTAACGAGCTGACTGCATGGAAACTTTCGTGGTTGTTCCTTACGTGTAACATGTATACAAGCCAGTTTCCTTTAGAAAGTTCTCCACGAAGAAATCCCGTGGTCTGTTTTCTTACAATTTGATAAATCCGTTCCAATTCATTTTTATATATTTTGCATATTTGTTCGCTTCGTACTACAAGTCTTTGTATCAGGAAATGATCCTGAATTATGCAACTTCCACTTTTAAACTATTTAATTCTATGAGAAACAATGTTCTACAGACTTCCTGTGTTATAAATTCGTAAATTAATTTCCGTTCTTCTTTTGCAGCTAAGAATGGATTTGTTGGCAACTTTGTTCCCGGATGCGAAGCAGACGGCACGTACAGCCGCAAGCAATGTAAAAGCTCCACTAGTTACTGTTGGTGTGCCGATGAGAATGGAAAGAAAGTCTCTGAAGAAGTCAGAGGAAAACTTGACTGTTGATTTGTCATAAAATATTAATGTGCATTAAATTATACTTTTAGATAAAAAGGTGTTGAAATCATTTACAGAAAATTACCTGAAGCAGATTTCTTTGGCTGCTATGGGGCCTCAAGGTTATTACATAATTTCTTCATCTTTAATTCTAGTGCACAGGAGACCTTATAAACCTTTACCTTCCACCTTAAAAGCAACGTCCTGCCTTTTCTTATCATAATATTTGTTTCGCGTCGGTCATACCCGAATTGCTCGTTGTATCACCCACCAATTTCTGGATGTACATAAACTTAAATTCTTTAGACCTTTTTACAATAAAACAAGTAATATAAAAAGAATTAAGTTAATTCCTACTTAGGTCAACAAAGAAAAAAAAATTGTTTTAATTAAAAATTTTAAAAATGTTTAACATGTGAAAAAACTGTATTAATATCAAGTGCCATCCACTACAAGTTTAAAGAAATGTATTTGAACTTGAATGGATAAATAAAAAGTATTTTATTAACGATTGAAAATTTGAACAAGATATAGGAGAGTGTGAGCTAATAGTAAGAATTTTAAAAAAGATTTATCGAGAGGCATAAAATCAACTTTCTGACTAGCTATAATTTAAACGGTTTCTTACCCGTGTTATCATATTTAGCCGATCTTAATGCTTAAGCTAATTCATAAGCTATCCGAACATTGGTGGTAATTTCTTAAATAGTTTCAAATAATTTTAAACATATTTCTACTCACCCGATCTGCGATGTTCGATTGTAGAGGCTAAGGGACCATTTTAAAATGTTCTATTTCAAGGCCTGTAAACTTTTACTCCAAAATTTGATTTCCGAACTAGTTCCCGTTAACTGAGATTGCTTTAATTGGAACTCCGTACCTCGATATAAATTTATTTAAAAATGAATCTCAACAATTTTCGCGGGCGCCCTTCTCAGGAGAATTATTTCTATCCACTTTAGAAAATGATCTATGATCACGGGTCAATATCTATTTTTTATTTTTATTTCACTATGCTGATAGGAACGATATAAGTCGATTGATTCTGTTTCATTAAGGTATTCATCAACTGGCAAATGTTGCAGGCGTTGATAAATCTTTGTAACTGTGGAAAATAAACAGCTTTCGTTACTCTCTGGACTGTTTTCCTTATTCCTATATGGCCTGAGCAGCCTGTAATTTATATAAAATGCTTAACCTTAAACTCGCTGGGATAGCTGGACTATTATTTCATTATTATTATTTGTTGTCTTTGTATATAACAGAAGTTTATCAATAATTTCGTAATTTACAACCCTGTTAGTAATTCCCGTTACGTCGTGATGTTCAAAATGATCAAGACCTTTCAAATACGGGTAGATATTTTTAAATCCCGTGTCAGCTTGCAGTTCCAAAATAAGTGTTTCTCATGATTAGAAATTAACACAGCACATTTTACTTCTTTCTCCTTGTCATTTGATTAGGTAGTGATAAGGACATCAGCAACAGTATTTTTTTTCAAAAGTATATTTGCAGAAGAGGTCATCTTATGTGTCTGCAGAACAAACGTTTTTCCTAATACAAGCGTACACTAGCCACATGGTCCGTATATACAGCCAAAATAAACTTTGCCAAAATAAACTCGAATTTTTTTCCGCAAGTAGAACTGCTATTTAATAATCCCTCTTGGTAGCGGTATAATTTCTTTGAGCTCGACAACATGTTTTGCTTAAATATACTACCGGCTGTTCGTCTTGCAAAAGCGCGGCATCTATTACGAAATCAGTTGCAATTGCAAGGTTTTCTAATTTAACGTCTGCTTCAGAAAATTCCAAGATGGGAACTTGGGTTAATGCCGCTTTATGTTTTTCAAAAGACATGTTTGCTTCGGCCGACCAAATGAATCTAGCCTTTGTCCTCTTTAAGTCTAATAACGGCTCTGCTATGTGAGCAAACGCATTAACAAAAGTTCTATAATAGGAGCATAAGCTCTAAAAGGATACCAGTTTTTTCGTCGTCTTAATTGGTGGATAATTATTTAGAGATACAATTTTCGAATCTTCGGCTTCTATTTCCCTCTCAGATATCTTATAGCCCAAGTATCGAAGTCTTTGGCTGCCAATTTACATTTTGCCGCATCAATTTTTAATATTGCTTCCTTTGGAAGCGAAAAAACTTCATGTGAATCCTGAATGCGTTCATCCATGTCGCTTGTGACTATTACGTTATCTAAGTATAAATTCTGATTATCTAGGGATAAGTCTTAAGATTTTGTCCATGGCTCTTTGAAACGTTGCAGGATCAAACGGCATTCTAAGGAAGGCATAAACCCCTAATAACCTTTTATAATAAATGCGGTCTTTGGCACGTTCTCTGGTTTTACACATGTCTGAAAATATGCAGACATTAGATCTAGCTCGTCTAGCTCGATCTAGTCGTCATGTATTTGTGGATTTATTTTTTCTTATTTCCTCAATTATTTATAAGGGGAAACTGCTGTACCATTGTTGTAATGATATTTAGTTTCCTGTAATGAAAAGCAAAATGCCGTGCTTTAAAATCGGTGGATGAGAGATGAATTTTCTTCTGGCCTAGCATTACAGGGGTGACTACTTGTGGAAATTATAATTTTGTTTTCCGGCATTTTTGCAATATGCTTTTCTATGATTTCCTCTATAATCTTATTGTATTGGTAGGGTTCTTTACATGGGAGGAAAGCTTAGTTCCGGTTTCTATCAAATGATTGACCACATGTATCAATCCTGGGGTGTCATTGAATAAGTTTGAAATATTTCTTACCAAATGCTTCTATTTCGTTTTCTCATCCGGATTTAGTTTCTTTCAGTCTAAGATCGAGAAATGTACTTTTCGTCCACCAGTTTGTTTATATCAAGGTGAATCGCATCTTTCTGAAATGTAAATTTTAAAAAATCCATCTCCAGTGTTAGTCTATAAATTCTCCCCACGCAAGCACACACAAAAAAGAAAGAAATAAAACCCATTGTTTATTGTTCTTATTTAAACTGCACATTTGAAGTCACTCTGCCTCGCATTCACAATGTATATCTTGGGCCGCTACGTATATTTACAAAATTCTAATACATATGATTTTTACAATTTACCATAAAATGAATAAGAGAAAAATAAATTTTTACTTTACTCATTCTTCGCCAAGCTGGCGGCACGAAACTAAAGTTCTTATTAATAAAAGAATACGAGTTATTTTTATCTTCGGCCAAATTTTGGCTTTAACATAACAGAATTAGTCTTTCGACCAACAAAACTGCTTGTTCTTAGATTTTATACTTAAAAAATAATACTTTTTGCCTTAGCTAATAAGTAAAAACAAACTAGTCTCAACCGAGACACATTGACTTCCGTCAAAACATAGAACTTCGTATTTTTACGCATAAACAATTCGGAACAAAAGAAAAAAAATTATAGAAGATTTTAACTATCTTTGAGTTTTCGATGATTGGAACTCCGTCATTCTTTTCTGGCAGAACTGCTCCCACGTTATAGGTTTCATGGACGTCAGTCTTCTCCTTAATGACCTCCGAGTGTCGTCTGTGATATCTGGCGACTGTTTGGCGATCAACAGAGCGTGCTTGGCGCAGGTAGCTCTTCTTCGAGAAGGGTTAATGTATTTATTAGGAGTCGCATGTTAGCCTCGGAAGAGGAAGGTAGTAGATTGTACTATGCGGTAGGAGCGACGTACTGCTCTGAGTAACTATTATATTATGCTTTGAATTATATATTTAATAAATGTTTGTTTCGTCTTGCTAATGGTGCCTTATTAAACCACGAAGTCATCACAACACGCTCTCTTACGAGAAAACCAGAGAGGTTAGAAGCTTAGAGCGTTGAAAACGGAAATGGCGTAAAAGTTAAGCCTAACTAACGAAAGAAGTGTGCATTTGCAAAAGAGAGTAAAAACGTGAGAATTATTTAGTCGAGAGTTTGAAAGGCTTGATTCTAAAGGAAAATAGAAGAAAATGTTCAAAAACGCAAAGAAAGGATTTAGTAGAGTTTCTATTGGAATTGGCGAAGAAGCATCCCAAATTTGAAGCTGGTAGAACTGAAACACAAACTCCAGAATAGCAAGGAATACATCGAAGATGCTGATTTCGTGAAAGAAATTTCTTATTACTACAGTGGAGAATAGAAAAGAAGAAATGGAAAGAATACAAATAGGAAGAAGAAAGATTAAAAACAGAAAGAGAACACTAAATAGAATTAGCAAAGATTCGAGCAACTTAAAATGAAGGAAGAAGTCGATGCCTTCATTCCAAAACACAGGACGAGAAACCAAAATTTCCCTCGACAAACTGATCAAAGGAGCAGAAACACTGACTATACCAGTACCGAAGAGAGCAGAAGCAATGGAATATATTTTTCGATTCTATCGAAAGAGCATTCAAGCACAAGAAGGTTCCTGAAGAATACAAATCGGAAATATTATTGAAATTAATTGGAGAAAATGCTTCATATGTTCTTGTTTATATAAGGAGGAAGATCTGCAAAATTACGAAAAAGTGAAAACTCTTGTTCTGAAGGCCTAACTAAAAAATATGTGTAAATCCTAATAAATCAGCGGATCGCAGTTAAGTCTAAACAGAGAGCGTTCTTCCACACACTTTATTCAGACACCAATACGAACTGATACATAGACATAATGACATCACAGTTTCTTTTACAAACACCCGCCATCTATTGCGATCTATGGATCACAATCCTAAATTACACTCCCCCCATCACCTCCGTAACGGTGCTTCAATTTTACTGAAATTAAGATTATAAGTCTTTCATGGTCTTCTAACAACACCCTTATCCAACTGAATCCACAGATCTAATTCTATCGCTCTTCCATGAATTTCCTTAATCTACATATCTTCCAGTTACAGCTTTCACATTATTTTCTCGAAGTCAACAGCATTAATTTAACACGGAGATTCTTGGAGTTTTGAAAATGACTGATCTTAATTCTAACAAATATTCTTATAAAACCTTTCCAAAAATGCTCTATATCATGCCTATACTCCATCTTTTAATCAACTGGATCTTTAGATTCTATTTAGATTCAGATAAGGTAACAGTCAACTAGATCCAGTTAAAAATAATGGTGAGAGGATCAGTTCATTTGTTTCATTGTATACATACGTTATAGGTCTATAATTATAACACTCACTTCAACTAAACATATCGTTCTTCATAAATAAAGAATCTTTAACCTAGATCGTTTTAAACAAGTTTTACGATCTTACCAACTTCCCAGAATCCGCCCACCAAGGGCACCTTCTACATAATTTCCATCAACCCATGTACAGATTTAAATAATATTAAAATCTTGTAGTTTAAAACTTAAATAATAACATTAGTATTTGTGAATGGCAATATTTAAACCAACCGAGTGCCACTGCGACTCTCGCACGAAGATGTATTTCTTTAAAATGTGAGAAAGTTTCTTCTTTTTGTCTAGTCGCATTTGAGTGCTAAATAAAGTTTTTTTTTTTTTTTTTTGTTTCCATATTGCTTCATATTGCCAAGAAGTATCACATCTTAATATTTTGGAGGCACCAACCGAATCGAAATCTGCGTATTTTATTTCCTTAGTTCAAACTGAACGAATTTAGTGATACCGATTATTACTTCCGTTAATATTGATGCTTTATTTCATTATTCATCACTGAACGCAATATTAGTGATACCAGGTTATACTTCCTGTTGATATGAATTGCTTTTATATTTTAGTCATCACTGAACGTAACTTCCTTTGATATTGAATTGCTTTTTATTAGTTACACTGAACATAATTAGTGATACAGATATTACTTCTGTTAATATTGATTGCTTTATTTTATTAGTTTCATCAAGAACAATTGTGATCCGGTTATACTTCCTTTGATTTGATTGCTTATTTATTAGTTCATCACTGAACTAACTTCCTGTTTATTTGATTGCCTTATTTATTAGTTCATCATGAACGTAATAGTGATAGCAGGTTTATTACTTCCTGTTAACACTGAACGCCTTATTTTATATTTATCACTTGAACGTAAACTTGTGATACCATTTTAAGCCGTTTCTACTAGAACTCAAGGAAAGAAAATAGCTGAAAGCAGATCTTTGAACCGATGAAGCAGAAATAAGCTCCAGAAGTATTTGAAGAAGTTAAATCACCAGATTAACTGGAGATTTCACGAATTGGAAAAACGATAAAGAAAAAATTAAGTATTTAGGAATGCAGGTGGGGAGGGGGGGGGGGAGGGATAAATAAAAGGAAGAGGTGAAAAAGGGAAAGCAAGGAGAGGAAATAAAGGAAGATGGAACATGGTGGGGAAAGGTTTGGTCATAAAGAGGAGTCAGGGTTATCAGCGTTGTCTTGCAGAAAGTTGATATCTGCGAACATCATTTTTTCGCTATTACGTGTGATGCTTGTCATTTCTTTTAATATTAAAAATTCACGCCCTAAAAGAGGGAAACAGAAGAAAATCTCACGTGGGCAATGCAAGCCAGCTCAAAATTTTTTCAAATTTACGATTTACTTGGCAACAGTCTTTCAGGGGGAATACCTATAACCGACCAAATATCTTCAAGCTTGGTTAAAGATGAACTAGCTGCATCCCAAAGAACAGAACACGGAATAACTAGGTGGGACTCTGGGCCAGGGTGTAGTCCGCATTACAAAGTGGATATAAAAGTACTTTGTTAGTATTCTAAAAATGTATTCGTACTGTGCCTTACATTTGGGAACAGTACTTGGAGAGAATGTCATCATTATTGCTTTAAAGCATGAGCAAGGCGACGAGCAATAAAAACGATAAAACCGTCCAGTCTCTATATTGTCCTTGCTGCAAAGGTTTTATGGTTACGAGTATGGATAAGCAATGACTTATATAACTAAAAGTTTTTGTTTAAAAAAAGAATGCGTGAAGGTCAATTTGCATACACAAATCACCAGGAGCTGCGGCTACGCCTAATTCTTGTACCATAAGAGCAACATATTCAAAATGTAAATTTGCGATAAAAAAAGAAGGTACATTGCATATAACAGCTATCCACTTCTGATATATTACTATAAATCCAATCCCGCCATATCTTGTGTAAGTATGCTGAAATTCTACGCATTAATAAATAAAAAAGGCTAATTTCTCACAAGATCTCAAAGAAAATAATATGTAAAAGTTAAAACTTAACGCCATGCTAAGCACACAACGTGTATCTACCAATGTGACGTACAAACAGACCAAACACTACGTATCAATATGTGTCACGAGACTTCACAACTAGTGTTTACAGTGTAGCTTCGGGAGTCAAACGAGAACTATCATGTATTGGGAAATAGAAAATTAAAAAAAAAAGAAATTAAATACAATTAAGTGAAAGTAAGGTTCTTAATTTCCTATTAAAATAACAATCATCTTAAAATCGCAATGCTATGTTTTAAACAGCACATAACAAAATACATACTCCGACAACACGCACACCTCGACGGCCTTTTACACAACGATCAGTGTTCGTCAAAACAGAAAATTGAAACTGAGACGATGATGTCACACAAAGAAAATATGGTTTCTATGCATAGGCATGCGCACACAGAGGCTGCCGTTACATAGGGCCGTCTCCTGAAGAAGCATCCTAAATACACAAGGCACATTTCGCACCACATTGCGCTTGATATACAGACTGGAGCATTTAATAAAAAAACCACATAGCGAACTTAATGATAGCGCAACATACAGAATGAAGATCAGACTTAAAAAACCAGGAGACAGGTTGGCCATGTGTTTTTGGGTTTTGCGGACATCCGACTTGTTAAGTCTTAAAAAAACACGGCCGAATTGCAACAAACCTCCGGGAACGCGCAAACTCGGCAGAGGCACCACAGCGATGGGCGATGTGCACAACGATCTATTGAATTAAAAAAGGTCCAAATGCACAAACTCGGTGCCAACCACATTGTTTCCCAGCGACATCGATGTATTGCATAAAAACGAACTAAGTCGCAAGAATGAATCCGTCCAATCAGGTTAAGGCGATGTAATCGAGATACTAACACCACAACAACTAGGCATCGCGCACAACTTTCATTGCGCAAACAGGCATTTGCCATGTACACATCTATTCACTTAAAAAACAACATAAGTAAATTCTCTGCTCATAAATCACAACAGCTAGCCGTAAAAGTCAGGTATCCAAAACTGCGCGAACCAGCTCCACATTGTTTTCGAAAGGGAAAAAGGCACCAGAAAACGGGATGCACAAAAAAAAAAAATTCGATATACAAGGGAGGATAATGCAACTAGAACAGCCAACTGCCATATTAAAAAAGCCCCCAATATTTTTACACTTAAGATCAACTAATACAACAAATGAAACTTACCCTCAGTCCCTCCTCCTTTTCAGAATTATTGGCTGTGATCTCACTGAGAGTTGCACATAACGGTGCCCATCTCGATCTATTTCACTTAAAAATCCCGAGTTGCACAAACTCGGCTTGCGCACCACATTGGCTTTGCCCATGTGCACATCGATCTATTTTCACTTAAAAAAACATCCCAGAATTGCACAAACTCGGCATCGCGCACATCGGCACTGCGCACCACATTGGCTTTGCCCATGTGCACATCGATCTATTTTCACTTAAAAAAACATCCCAGAATTGCACAAACTCGGCATTGCGCACCACATTGGCTTTGCCCATGTGCACATCGATCTATTTTCACTTAAAAAACATCCCAGAATTGCACAAACTCGGCATTGCGCACCACATTGGCTTTGCCCATGTGCACATCGATCCTATTTTCACTTAAAAAACATCCCAGAATTGCACAAACTCGGCATGCGCACAACTCGGCATTGCGCACCACATTGGCTTTGCCCATGTGAACATCGATCTATTTTACTTAAAAAAATCAGACATCAAATAAATTCTCCATTGCTCATATACTCAGAAATTTGCTTTCACTTAAAGAAATCAGAGATTGCAGAAACTCGCGCGAACCACTTTGCAAAAAAAATGTGTCCAGAAAAAATGATACAAAAGAAAATAAAGCTGCCAGAATAAAGCAACTACCAAACATCCAAACTGCCATATTAAGAAAAGCACCCAATATTTTACTTAAGTTCAATAATAATAAATGAAACTTACCTTCAGTCCTCTCCTTTTGCAGAATATATGGCTGTGATCTCACTGAGAAATATACGCATCAGTTGGCTGGCGTCGGATTTCTTGTGTTTCCTTCTCCAAATATATTCCGCAAGATAGGAATCAAACTGTCCTTTTGCCTTACTAGAGCCACGGAAAACTTCTTTTGATTGCCGCCCAAGTTCCTTCAATACTATTGGTATGCGCACCTGTTTCTGGATCTTTAAAACTCAAGCTATGATTGACTTTCAGGTGCGCATACCCTTCGAACTCGAGACAGTCGTACGCTTTCCAACAATCGGATATAATAATCGATCCTGGTAGAACATTCTCTTTAATGATTTCTAGCAATGTTTCGGCACCTCTGTTTTCAACAACTCTAAAGACGCATTTATCTGTTCCTCTCTCAACCAAACCAAAAACCCATTTTCCTTCGACTCTTTTCCCTCTATGATACTTTTGCTTGCCAAACTTGCTTTCGTCGATTTCGACAATGACACCTTCCCCACCCAACTTAACATTCTCCTTCAAACATAACTCCATGCATACTTCTCTACAAAAACTTTTCCAATCTGTCACCGTATTTTTAGCAATACGTAATTCCGTTCGTATAAAATCATTCCCGCACTTACCCAACCACATATAGGTAACTCGCAAAACATCACATGCTCAATTTACTCTTCGCAAACCAGGAGTTCTTTCGAACTGACCTTGAAATTCGATGCCTACATTCGCCTCCAGTAACTCTGCACATCCACTCAAAACCGTCTATACGGTTTTTTCGCTCTACTAGTTTCATATTTGTTCCACAAATCGGGCACTTATACGATATTGCAATCAAACCTTTCTCCATACACCACTCAATAACACATTTTTTATCTCTTCGCTCCAACTGATAAAAGAAATCCAGATTCAGATACTCATCCATTCTGCAGTAAGCACCGAATTAGACACACTCATGAATAATCAAAACATTCTTTAAGCAAAAGAATTCTTTTCTGTATTTTCAGAAGTTACGGTTATAATTTTTAATTCATGCATTCAATATTTTCAATCGTTTGCTAATGATCGTTTTCAATCGTTTGGTATCTTAATAATACATTTGTGAGAGATAATTCGTTGCGTTAAATGCTAACAATACCACACAACACACAAAAGTAGATTTACAATTTAAAAAATCTCGCACAGAACATTATAAACCTACCATTTCAACTCAGTTAAAATATAATATAAGTTTTCTTTAAATACGAAGCTATAGCATACTTATAACTTGTTTTGAAGAAGAGGCGTAACCAATATTACGTCATAAAAAGGCGTGTCCAAGCATAAGAGAAGTAAACACAGCATCGACTGATGCAGCCTATT